TTTTCGTACGTAGGTCCTGATTGAGACACATATGTCTTGTGAGGAGCCTCCCAAGCATCGTGTGTAGATCATCTATAATATTAATATCAGTAAGACATCATCGATGTTCCTTCTGACTAGCAGTGGCATGTATAATTATGTTTATTAGACTACCTTATCAGTTATGACTAAATGGTCAGTAATAGTAAATTAGGATTGTTTAATGTGACTAGTTTCGGTTAGCAATATTTAATATGCCTATTATATATAATAGATAAAATATTATGTTTTTAAAATGGTACTTAAGTTTAAGTAAATATAAATAGTTTTAAAAGTTGAAAATATGAAATGTTTTAACTTTCCTCTGTTTTATTTTAAATAATTTCGTATATTTCAATATTTATCTATTTGTTCTCGCCTTTAATATTAATGCATCACTAAGTTATACTTAGCGCGTGATGATTTTCATACGTAGGTTTTGATTGGCACACAGACGTTTTGTGAGGAGCCTCCCAAGCATCGTGTGCAGATCATCTATAATATCAGTATCAGTAAGACATCATCGATGTTCCTTTTGACTAGTAGTGACATGTATAATTATGTTTATTAGCCTACCTTATCAGTTATGACTAAATGGTCAGTAATAGTAAATTATGATTGTTTAATTTGACTAATTTCGGTTAGCAATATTTAATATGCCTAATATATATAATAGATAAAATATTATGTTTTTAAAATGGTCATGAAGTTTAAGTAGATATGAATAGTTTTAAAAGTTGAAAATATGAATGTTTTAAAAGAAACAAATTTTTAAGCAAATATGAATAGTGAACATCGGTCGGTTTGATGTGACACCTATGGCTCGTATACTTAAATGATTACGGGTTATGGGTGTTACAATAATTATTAAAAATATTAAATTAATTCAACGTGTGAGTTATGTAAATATAAAACAATAAAGTTGTTAAGAAATTTCATAACACATTTTATTTTAGTTTATAATAAGAATATAATGTTATTCTATATTGGACATCAATTAAATTTTAAAAATACATAAAAATATTGTTATAACCAGGAGCACACACAAGTGTCATTAAAATAAAAAATGTGTTTAATGATAATTGACGTCCTCGAACTTTTGGGAACAAATAATTAGTGTAGCCCCTGAATATTTTTTGCACTGAAAAAATAAATCTAACCCTTTGAAGAACGGAATCAAACATTGACTATCACAACACTTACATGACAATACACAATATTGATGTGACAGTTTATGATACTGTTGTGGCAGTACACTATAGACGATGATGTGATAGATGAACTTAATTGATTTTTTGGCTAAGTTTATTAGCGTAATTGATTTTTCAGAAAGTTTGAAGACTTATTTATTTAAAAATTATTTAAATTAAAAATATAAAACACAAACAATTATTAGATATCAATACATTAAATATAAAAATACTATAAATTTAAAAGACTATATTGAGTGTAAAAAACAAATTCGGGGACCATATTGCTCTTTTACAAAATTTTGAGGGTTTTAGATATCATTAAATAAAAAAATATTGTCAAAATAAGTTGAACTTGTGTAAGTTAAGTTAAATATCTAGATCACATATTCCTTTATTTTTTAAATTTATAAAATAATTTTAATAAAAATACTGAAAATATCTTTTTTATGTTTTCATATTTTCACTTATTTCTGTTGTCATTTTACAAAAATCATTTTCCAATTTTACAACCAAACATATTTTCTTCACGTTTCTATTTTCTAAGAAAATAAAATGAAAACATCTTATTTTTCTAAAACCAAACGGATCCTAAATATTTTCCTTAAATAGTATGAAGTGATTATGAAATACCATCTATTTAGAAATGTTGTTAATTATTGACAATATTTCTTTAACAATTTAAACTACTTGATAATTTTTTTAAAAATCATTAGATGTATCACACAAATCACATATACATAATAATATCATATGCAGATTTGCTCGTTTTAATCAACCTACTCAACACAAATAATAAATTTACTATCTATAAAGTCATGTAAAATACAATAACGCCAACAAGTTTCCAAACTCTTTATTTTAAGCTTTTATTTATTTATATATATATATATATATATATATATATAGTATCTTCTGTAAGCTGCAAATTACTTCTTCTATCTCATCTCACCCTGCAACAAGTTTCCAAAACAATGAATTAGATATTTGGTAATAATCAATTAAAAATTCTCGTAAATTAAATCTCGACCAACAATTTTTAAATATTAACTCAATAATTTAATAATCAGACCATGATAGTATTCATTTTGTTTATTTATTCACAAGATTTCATTTTGATTTTGTCTTTCTCTATGTATATATATTGAAGTCATTATCTTATTTTCAGAAGACATGATTGATAGAATGTACAATACCATTGATTATAAATTTTAATATTTTTTTTTTCTTTACAATAAGTAGTTATAGATCCACAATTTCTTTAGGATGAATATGTGTCTATTCTGTAATCTGATTTTTTTTTCCGATTAATTACATATTTTATTGATTATATATATATATATATATATATATATATATATATATATATATATATATTATATATTTATCTTCAAAAATATTTTTAATTTTTTTGACGTGACATTCATATTCTCCACCTCTTCAACACGTGACATTGACGATTAGGTGAAAGGAGTACCTGTTGCAATTCGTAGAAGGGTTGATCTTGAAAGGAATTTTGACACCGCAGTGAGCAGGAAGGCTCTCAGCCAATTTAAAATCGATACCAGGATGCCCATCGCGGCAGTTTTCAAGCACCTGCACACGGTTTGCCGTTCACCGGTGGTTCTAGCTTTCTTGTTTAGGTACTTACTCCATCACAGCAACCTGATGGGGGGCTTCTTCCACCTTTCTTCTGCAGGTATGTTATGCATCCAGCCGTTTGGGCCGCCACCTCTCCGCATGAAAGTGCAGTTGTGGCCATTGGTTCAACCACTAACATGAACAAGACTAGCCCAGAAACAAGCCTAAGACCAGCAGCCATGGGTTTTGCGAAATGAAACAATTGCGGATGAGTTGGTTTGTGTGTGTTTGAAAGGCGAGTGAGTTGAATAGGGTATGACATTGGTTTATATAGACTATATCAAAATTAACTCCAAACATTATTAAAATAGTCATTTGGATTTTTATTCTTTTTTCTTGAAAGCATTTTGGTCCATCGTTTTATTTTGGGACAAAAAGGTTCATCCATGTATAGAAATTATTAGTTAACAAACAATTAACGCTCGTGAATATGAGTTTTTTACTCTAAAATGAAACGTTGTGAGTCAAAATGCTCTAGAATAAAAGAATAAGGGTCAAAGTGACTATTTTAATCAACGATGAAGACTTTACTAGAGAAAATGCATCCTTTCATGAATTTCTAAACCCTCAATTTATAAAATAGAACTCGAATAGTAAATAGAATAAAGGTCAAATAGATAATATTGTCTATCAATTTATATTCATCTAATGATTTACCCTCTAAATTTCTAATACAAGTTCACACTCCTAACATAAGATCTTATGTCGGTCCTCATTTTATATATATGTGTATGCAAAAAATTAAGATTTTACATATTTTTCAAATGGTTAGAGAATAAAAGTAATGATTAAAATTAAAAACAGAGAACAAATAGATTTTATATATATATATATATATATATATATATATATATATATTCCTCATTAAATTTAAAAGTTCTAATCTTTATCATTAAATTTAAAAGTTCTAATCTTTATCATTAAATTCAGTTGATCAAGTTATCAAACTTTAATATCATAATTATTTTATGATCATCTAGCAAATGAAGTTGAAGCAATGCCTTGCATCTTCGGCAAGTTAGAACATAAAGAACTCAATTTCGTAGAGAGATAGGTCGGCACTATTTACTTGGGCAAAAACTTGTGTGCAGAGACAACCTAACATTAATTTCTATGCAGACATATATAACAATGTTTAATGGTATCTATATATTTTTTAAAAATTGAAAAAATGTTCATCTAAAATAAATTATAAATAAAAAGGAAATAATATTAGGAATTGAACCTATATTATAAGCATTTGCTAGAGACCCGGTCTGTTGGTGAATTTGGACGTTTAGAGATTTTGGATTTAAATAATTATGTCTATAGTGTGTAATTAATGACCAAGAGAAACTATTAACAAATATTTCTATCTTGTACCTAATATTTATTAATGGGTACAAACTAAGTGGTCTCGAATTGTTGTTATTCCTTTAAGACCCGAGTTCGAGCACAATAGATATCAAGAGTGTGAACGTTCAATGTCAAGAGATTAAAAGTTATCTTTGACCAAATACTATATTATATTTACCTTAAATTATTCAAAAAATATATTTATCAATGGGTAAACTTTATGTTTGAGTAAAATTTTCTTTGCCCAATGATATTTCAAAATTAAATATTTGATCCCAAATATTATTGATTTATTATAAAATGATCAGTAGATATTAACTATGACTGTAGATGACGGAATAATGATGTAACGTATTAACCGGTTGATCTGACAATTGTGCTGCACGCAAGAGCTGCCACGTGAGAGCTGCCATTTGATTCCCCCCTATACTAAGTCAAAGGACCCCACCCCACTCGTCATCGGCATTCTATCACCCACAACTACGGTTGTTAACGCCGACTAACAATCTGTTAATGAAGTGGCCACTTATCGAAACAGGAAAAGATATCACCGGTTGAGATAGAATGTCAACGCTTACAAACCTAAACGATCGACATCTTAAACATATCGATATGGACCTCGACACAAGGCAGGGCATGGTTGTTCAGCATGGGGCACCAATCATGGTTCTTGAGCTCCTTCCCATGCCATGCGCATTATAGGATGATACATTGTTTGAAAGAGTAACCTCAAACCTCAAAAACTCAAAAATAGACCGTAAAACAGACATGAAACATAATCAGAAAAGAAGAGTTGCACTATGATTGCCTTTCGGAGATGATGAATGTAACATTTAATATCAACATGACAATGTCAAACAATTGTATCTTCTTTACAACAAAGTCAATTAGACGGTGTAAATGGTGCTCTTTCTTTCTTTTATTTTGCCCACGTAGTTAACCCACCAACATCCTTCCTACATTCCCTTCATTTGATGATAATCATCATAAAAAAGGATTGACTAAGACGAGGTTCAGTTAAAATATGTATCTAAAATATAGCGTGCGTTGGCACGAAAAAGAAAAGATTTTTTCTCTTCAAAACTTTAACCTCAATGAGTGTTCCTTGTCTTCTTTGCAGTAAACAATTGGCGAAGGAAACCAAACTTACCCTTTGTTCGAGAGGATAACTCGGTCATGGCTCCGTTGCTTGTTTCTGCAGTCTCACTGGTGTCGGATTCGGGTTTGGAAGGTGAAGGAGGTGTGAGCGTGAAGAGAAATGCATTCATCATACGCATTATCTGGCTGAAGCTCGGCCTCATGTTAGGGTCCTCGACCCAACATGATTGTATGATAAATGCCAGCTCGGGGGATATATCCTCTGGAAGGCTAGGTCGCTCTTGCTGCACACTCGAACGGCATCAAACTAATTAGTTATTGGTGATTTTGAAAAGAAAAAAAAAGCATGCATAACAAAATATGCAATAAAGACTTGCACCTTAAAAGCAGCAGCATAAGCTGCCTGTAAATTCGACATGCCCTCGAATGGCATTCGATTGGTCAACAGTTCCCATAACACAATTCCGAAGCTGTAGACGTCAACTTTGTTATTGTAATGCTTTTTCTCTCCCCGACGCAACGTCACCGTGCTATACAGCTACAATGACACAAATTGAAAGAAAGACTGACAACCAAGACAGATTGTAAACAGAAGTTAAGTCTACTAATAGAGATCATTAAGTTAAATAAACCATAACCACGAGAAGGCGATGACAAAAACTGCCCGACATTATTGTCAGTTGTATGTCCAAAGCTCAAACAGGCATTGAAGAGGTTAATGAGTACTTTACGTCTACTAATCCGGCCACTTACTAAATATGACCCTACCAAACAATCCATGAATCTATGGCTATTCTATCTATTCAAAAGACTTGAGGCCTCTAAAGAACATTCAACGACTTTCGGGGTGATGATAATATCAAACGTTTGACAACTTAAGTATAGAAACCAACGAGATGAAATCAAAACAAAAGATTCAATTTTCATTGCAAATAAGTTTCTTTTTCCGATTTGCTTATGCAATAATGGCACGAACCTCAGGGGCCATCCAACGATAAGTTCCAGTCTCTGCAGTCATCATCTCTGTCACAGTTTCTTCCCTCGCAAGACCAAAATCTGCAAGTTTCACGGATCTCTGGTTTGCTGTAAGCAGCAAGTTGTCTGTATCATTAAATTTCCAGGTAAGGAATCAGTCAAAGGACTCGAGAAATCGATACTGAACTATGAACAAATGAATGACATCAAAGATGAATTATGTTCAAGAAATACCAGGCTTTAGATCCCTATGTATAATCCCATTGGCATGCAGACAATCCATGGCTCGAGCTATATCCAGTGCAAAATTCAAAGCCACATGGAGGTCCAAAACCTTCGGATGGATGCTAACTAAATACTTCCGGAGGGACATTCCCGGTAACAGCTCAGTTACTATAACCATCAGCGGGTCCTTACAAGCTCCAAAGAACTGCCAAGGCAACAAACGGATAAAAACAACAGATTTGATCAAGTCATATTATATTAGCATTTCAGCTTCCAACAGTCACCTTGACAAGGTTCTCATGTTTCACTCGAGACATCATGTTAACCTCGCGAACAAAACGACTCTTGAGCGCAGCCCTTTCCTCCGCAGTCCTCCCACGGTGAAGAACTTTAATGGCAACAATCCGATCACCATACCTGGGAAATATTAGACTCACCCCTATGTAACTAGAGAATAACCCTCGATGCACAATCTATTTTTTTTTACAATATTTCTATCTCCATCATTCATTTCCCATAAAATGGTAAACAAGTTATGATTTCTACAAAATTCGTACAGAAATATTAACATTGTTCTTCATATATTGACTGTTCCTGTTACATCCACACAAGCATATATATATATATGAAGTCTAAAAGTTTATTTTTTAAATTTGGGATAATAAACAACAAAAGTTCGGATTACGACAAAAGCTACCACAAGGTGTTTTGGGACTGACCTTCCTTCGTAAACTTTGCCGTGAGCTCCTTCTCCGATTTTGGAGCCGATAAATAACAATTTCGGGTCGATGAGCAAATTTTGATCGATGGTCAACTCTTGAGCAGCCGTCATCGACCCGTTCGAAACGACGACGTTTGTTGTTTCCTCTTCGTTGCAACTCATAGTTTTTGTTTCCTTTTAGTTTCTAAATTATTCCAGATTTCCTCATTTCAACCAAAAAAATGTTCCTTTTCCGCTAAAAGATTCTTTCTTTCAACCTTCCATATCAGCTTCAAAGTTCAAACCACCGAACCTCGTAACAATCCGTCCGATTCCTATTTCTCTCCCCGAACTAACCATCCAAATTCAGCTCCTTTTTATAATCTTCTTTCTCTTGTATTTTTTTTATTTCTGGAATTTGGGTTGAGCTCAAAGGTACTGCCTCTGAAGATAATAGCCAAAAAAGATAATGAACCCCTGGGAAAGGAGAAACAAGATGAAGCAAAAGCAACTTACAGTCCAAGCAAAACTAGGCAAAAAGATAAAAACGAGAAGAGGCTTAAGCTTTCACATGAAAACAGAGAATCTTCAATATATATCGGATTTAAAATGAAAAATAAACGAAAAAAAGGGAGCTTTGGGGTTGGCTTGCTCTTATCTAAAGCAAGAAGTTCTCCGATGAAGATTAAATATTCTGCTATTTTCAGACGAGGGTTTTACTTAATTAAAGAGGAAAAAAATGGAAATTATATAATAATAGTAAATGAGATGGGAAAGGGAAAGGGAGAGAGCAGTGGTGTTTTGGAGAAAAGTGAAAGACCAATTATACAATGACACGTGGAAATCAACAACTTTTCATTAAGGGGTGTTATCACAGCTTCAGAGATTTTGACGTGGCTTCTCTGTGATAGAGTTGCTCGTACGGAGAGACAGCCTCCCTGCCTCGACTCCGCTCAGCTCAGCTCGGCTCGGCTCTTGTTGGCTTAATTGTCTCTCTTTTCCTTTGTTTTACCTCGAGTTAAAGAGTACACAAATGGACACCGATTTTATAATATTTCTTTGTTGAATCATTTGACTATTTAAAGTTATAAAATGATATCCTAATTATAGGACGTTATTTTGTTGAGTCCTTTGACTATTGGTTTCAAACTCCTTATTTTTCGTTGAAATATTGGTTATCGTCTTAGCTGAATGTTAACTTGTTGACTAGGATATGATAACATATGATCACAGAATCATTTGAGTTGTATTTTCGAGATTGACTCTACATTTACATTAGGTCGTCGAGTTAATGCTTGAAATATTATTTTGTCGAGTTATTGCTTGAAAGCAACGACAGTGCCACTAGACATTATTAAAATATGATGTTATTATATCCTAATCAGCATGTTAACGTCCAGCTTAGATGACCGTCAATTTTAAAACAAAAAATGACGAGTTCGGAACATATGAACAATCGAGTGACCATTTTGTAACTTTTAATAGTCGAAGTTCTCAACAAAACAATACTCTATAGTCAATGAACCATTTTGTATCTTTTAATAAAAAGAGGACTCAATAAAAAAAATACATTATAATTGGGGATCATTCCAACTAATCAATATAGTAAATAAATTATTCGAAATATAATAGTATATGTAGGGATGGCAAAAAAACCTGAACCCGACGGGAAAAATCGAAAACCGAATTAAACGGGTCGGGTTCGGGATGATAAACGGGGACGGGGACAGGGAAAACCCATTTATTTTAAACGGGGACGGGGACGGGTTTGGTAATCCCCGCCCCGATTACCCGCCCCGATACCCGACCCGATAAATATTAAAAAATAATTATTTATATATATATATATAATATTAATAAATTTAATTTAAATAAAATATATATATTTAATTTAAATATATATATATACCCGACCCGATTCCCGGCCCAATACCGACCCAATACCCGGCCCAATACCCGTTTAAATAACCGTTTATGCTAAACGGGGATACCCGTTTCCTCGCAGTTTTCCCCGATTACCCGACGGGGATCCCCGTTTAAATCCCCGCGGTTTTTTAAACATGGACGAGTACCGATTTTTTAAACGGGGACGGGGACGGGGACCAATACCCGACCCGAACCCGGCCCGTTGCCATCCCTAAGTATATGATATATTACAAGAAATATTATTTTATTTTATTTTATTTATTCATAAAAGATATAAAATTATAATGTTTGATTGAAAAATATAAAATTACTTGCAAATAAAATTTTATTAAATTTTATTATGATATTTTTTATTCAATATATTTTATTTTTAATTATTTCAATCTTTAATATTAAATTTAAAATATTTACATAAAAATTAATTAAAAGTCGTTTTACATTACTTAATTTTTACAAAATTTTATATTTCACATATTATTAATATATATCAATTAAACGATCTTAATGATTAAGGGGAGTATTATTTTCCTTAGAGGTCCCGATTTCGAGCAATTGTGTCTGTAAGATGTGCGTGTGCGTTATTAACTAAAAAATATTAAAACATATTATCTTATAATCATTACAGATTATTAAAAACACTATTAATTATTAAACTAATATGAAATGAAATATTAGTAAATTTACACTCTAAGGGTAAATATCTGTTTAGGAAATATCATTACTAATGATAATAATTTTTTCTCGTGAATCAAATACCTTATAAGGGTAAATATATGTTTTGGTATATGAATTTGATTTAATGTGCAATTTGATACCTATTTTTTAGTTCAAGTAGATATATTGACTTTTAAGATTCAATTTAATATCCAAAAATATTTTTCAATTAAGTAATTGAACTAGATTTTTAAATTAAATTGATACTTCAATTTGATTTAATGGTTCAAATAAATCATCTATTATAAGTACTAATTTTGAACTAAAAAAATAAATACCAGTATTAATCTGAACTAACAAGATAAGTTCAAGTACCTAATTAAAATATATGGAAGAAGGAAGGATGAAGGGGGAGGCTATTGGTGAGGATGGTTATGTTGTGTGATAGTATAAGCAAATATTAATTTGCAGCCGATTTTAACTTTAAATGTTATATTATCTAACATAAAAAGTAATATAATTGATAATAATTTTGATTATAATTGAAAATGTTATATTATAACGGATTTTAATTTAAAAGATTACACGTTTGATAATAATTTCAACTAAAGACAAGAATATATTGACAATAACTTTTTATGTTACAACCGAATAATTATTTAATTTACATAATTTATTACGAAAAATGTAATATTTTTGATTTTAATTTAAAATATTATTTAATTTATTCTAAATTTGATACTATTAATAAACCGATAAGTGAGAAATATGAAGCACGTGTTGCTGAAGCTGACTCAATGAAAGAGTGGACCCACAAGTCTCGATCAGCAGCCATCGGATTGGAAAGCAAAACCAGAGGGGCCCAACAGCCTCTGACAACTCTCATTCGTGTGAAACAACTTCTTCCATGGGCTCCACTTTTTTGTCCATTTGTTTTAATGTTGTTTAACACGTGCCAAAATTTAAAAAAATAAAATAAATATATTTCACTATTTACGCGATAAAAAATGACTTGTAAATTATGTACTTAGCCATCCAATTATGTATGTGATTTTGTTTTGGTCATCTAACTATTTTTTTAAAATAATACATAATGTTATGTTTTCGTTTTAATAATGTCACATGGTATTATAAAATTAACAGAGCTATTGACGTGAAATTATCTTATAGTAATATATCAATATCATTGTTAATATTTTAATAGTGGGATGTATTTTTTAGGATAATTTCATTTTAGGTATTTTTTACAAGAAAAGATTTCAAACGCGTCACTTAACTTTTTAGGGTAAACTATGTAATTTTGTACACTACTCTAATGAATAGTCACCCATATCTATGATAGAATCATGTTTGTCTCCAATAAGGATTAATGTAAAACACACTTGCGATTTTTATTTTTTTTGATTAAAAATGAAAAATAATAATTCGAGTTAGGTTGTCAAAAATCTCACTCGTCTCGCTTCGTTGTTGTAACATCTCTTACTCGATTCGTAAGTACGATCAAATAAAGAATACCATATTAATCAACTAAGTGACTTAGGATAAATTATAAATAATTTTTCAATTAATAACATGGAAAAACTAAAAATCAACAACATATTTAAACTTCTATTTTCATTTCATATGTTTCAATAAATTGAGGATTAAGTTTACCCTTTTTTCCAAAATGAAAGATTTTTTTTCTTATGGAGACCTTCAAGAGTATTTTTCACCAATTTCGTACTCAATATCTTTTTTTTTTCAAGTAAACATAAGTATAATACCCTAGAAGTTGTAGTGTCAAATTTTTGATTTAAAAAGATTATTAATTATTATTAAATATTGATTATGAAGCTTATTATTTTATTAAGTGATCATAATAGAACTAAAATGAATTAAGATAACCATTTTAAGAGAAAATGGATATTGAAATTTGACCTAAGACTAAATTATACAGTTTAAAAGGTTTGAGGAGGATATGATATTTTTTTTTTAAAATTTGAGTAAAATAACAATAAATGAATACAGGGATAACAAGAGAGGCAGCGGGATCCAGAAGGAAACAACCAGAGTGACAAGAGTACGGGGGAGAAGGCCGGCGTGATGGATGGAAGAACCTTTAAAGAAGCTCTTGTGGGTGGAAGCAACATGGATATGGAGATGGCATAGGGATACAAAATACGAAGAAGACAGGCGAGAACAGTAACCATAGCAAGGAGGGCATGTCATACGTTAGTCTAGTCGATATGCTGCCTGCAAATTCTCATGGGGAGCATAGAGTCGACTCCATATTTTTCCTAAATTCAGAACAATAGTGGAGGAGCCAGTATCTCGTTGGACGTATCAAGAGCATGTATAATGTAGATGTGGTCCAAGACGCTCTAAGGTCCGAGGGTTTTGAAGCAAAAGGCATCACTTGGTCAAGCTTACTGGTAGTTATCCAATTCTTAAGGAAGGAAGAACTAGACAGATGCTGGTGCAGCCGAGCTGAACTGGTCGACCTCTGGTTCGATGAATTTGAGAAGTTAGAAGGCTTCAATGGAAAAAGGAGGATTAAGGTTTGGGTAATAGTGCAGGATATACCACTGCAAGTTTGGAACGTGAAGTTTTTCCACTCGTTAGGGTGAGGTACTCAAAATAGATGAAGATACCATAAATCGCAACCGATTTGACATTGCAAAAGTGTAGCTGTCTGTTCAAAGAATTGCTATTATCCGAGAAAGTTTTTTTATTAATATAAACGGACGCTGTTTTCCGATCAAGATTCACACCGAGGAGTTTGAATAAGAGCCGAGATTCACTGATGGATCATTCCCTTTGGAGGTGCAGGCCGACGAGGGCTTATCATCGCCAATCTTATCTGACACGCTTGCCGAGAGTCATGAAGGTGTTGAGCCCGAGGATAACATTGATAACGCAGCTGAGGAAAAGTGATTGGCAGCAGATATAACGGTGGTGGTAGGATATCTGGTGGGTCCACTTTAAATCCCAACTTAGTGGAACATGGACTAATTAAAAATGATAGGCTGCATGAGGTCCCGATGCTGTCTGGTAGTGGGCCTGCTAATTCAGCGGAGTGGGCTAGGTATCGGTTCTTAATAGAGTCCGGCTTCAAAAAGTCTCAATT